AACTGAGGTTTTTCTTAAAAGAGTTAGGATATTTCTCAAAAGCAATTCATGAATTGCAAATTGCACACTCGGATTAATTAGGTCAGCTATATCTATTTTTATTCTTACTTGTCACGCGCTAGAGCAACCACCTATTTGTCTTCAGCCTTCCGAACTGCAGCGATTAGCACAAAGTCATCATCTGTATCAAATAATTATCTCAAAAACAATTCATGCTTATATTAATACATTAGAAAATCGTTCTAGAATTTGAAAGCAGTTTCAATTTAGCTAAAAACAAGCCTACCATCTTTTTTAACATATTCTTCACTTCCAAATTCTTGTGTCATTTCTTCTGAAGACGCCTTAGTGTCATTATGAAACCATTTGGCACCTAAAAAGTCATAAGACAGACATTTAGTCCTGATACAAAAATGATGAAAAAAAATTAATTAATGTGATCATGTATATGAATATAATGACAGTTAATTCAATTTCCCTATAATTGCCAGTTTAACAATTATATTTTACAATTTTAAAGCTTATTTTCATCTCGGGTGTTGGAAAGAACAATATTTTATTAACTTTTTAAAGTTCTGAACTGAAACACGGAAATACCTTCAACGACAGTCTTATCCGCCTTCTGTCGCTCATTTCGTCTCTTGGGAGATTCGTTACGAGTTCTGTTTAGTGGTGATACTGAAATCTCCTCAAATGTGTAATTGGTAACTCCTTCGTGTTTTGTCCTAACTTCTTTTGACTCCGTCGTCTTTACAGTTTTCGTGCGATTAATCTCAGTGACATTCTCTATTTCTCTTATCGAGATATCGCCATCGCTCTCTTCAATTACTTGATACCTGACATTGTCAGTGAAAATAATGTTTTCTATTAATTGAGCTGTACGCGATTTTTCCAAAATATCTAAACATTTCAGTTGTCCATCGATATCTAAAAACCATTCCTGATTTATACACTTTAGTTTCCATTTTGTATAATCCACCTTGTGTTCATCCATTGTGAGATACCACAATTCTGTTTGGTATTAAAAATAAGAATTAATGTATTAAAGTTAAAACCGGCAAACATGTATATGTATTTTTTTTCATTGAACACTAGTATTTATTTTGTTTCCCTAAACACTATAGTATTTATTCCGTTTTTACTGAACACTTACATCTATTCTGTTTCACTGAACACCAGTATTTATTCCGTTTTTACTGAACACTTACATCTATTCTGTTTAATTGAACACCAGTATATCTATTCTGATTCACTGAAACACTAATATTTATTCTAATTACACTGAACACTCGTATTTATTCTGTTTCACTGACACTAATATTTATTCTGTTTTCACTGAACACCGGTTTTTATTACTGTTTCACTGAACACCGGTATTTATTTTGTTTCCGTGAACACATATATTAATTCTATTTTCACTGAACACCGGTATTTATTCTGTTTCCACTCATCGCTATAGTATCTATTCTGCTATTCTGTTTTCACTGACACTAATATTTATTCTGTTTTCACGGACACTAATATTTATTCTGTTTTCACTGAACACCGGTATTTATTCCGATTTCACTGAATAATAATAATAATAATAATAATAATAATAATAATAATAATAATAATAGTAACAATAATAAACTAGCAATAATTCAAAGGCAAGGCGATGCAATTTTTATCTGATTTGAATATAAAGTAGTATTGAACCAATTCATTTTAAATCAAATTTATTAGAAGTACTATAGCGAAAATAATAAATGTTCTTTTATTTAATTTGTACTTTTATTGACCCCGTCATAGGTACAAAAGGGTCGTGGAGCATCCCCAGCTAGTGTACCTTACAATTACAGTATTAATTTATATGGTATGCAAAAGATATAAGTTGTATTAGTTTATAACATTTGTGTAGAGCAATTATATATATAATAGTTCATAAACACGAAAAAGTTCGTATAGATCAATATTATTTGAAATACTACAAAGTTTCAAACCTTTAAACAGAATGGAAATTTTAAAATGTATCTGTATATTCAAAGAATTATTGATTATATAGATAGCTTGAATTTACAGAGAATCTTGTTATTTGCAATTATAAAAATGAGTAAAAGGCTCCTTTTAAATCAATGAGATCGAAAACAACTTGCTTTTAATATTTCCTTAGTTATAAAAGCGATTCTACAATGTTACCTTCACTTAAGGATATTTATTACTGTTTTGATATTTGGAGGAATGTAGCATTCATTTTAAGAGTTTTACCAATATAAAGTTCTTTTCTTACCTTTAAACTCCCAATTACTATTTACAAAATAATGATAATAGATAAAAAAGAATTCTCTTTCCATTTATACAACCTCATAAACATGAACACATTTATCCCAATTTGTACAACAACACATTCAAATTCTCTTCATCCAATTTTAAGTACATGTACATACTCTACTCCATGTCTTATCTGTTTATAAAGTTTAAAATTGTCATAATTAGCGAACATGTGAAATTTCAAGGAATAAAAAAGGAAGTAACCGAATGTTAGTACACAAATTGTTTTCATTCCAATTTGAGTTATGCAAAACCATATATCAAATTATATACTATTGATTGATGGAATTTTGAGGGGTATAAAAAACCGGAAGAGAAAAAAAAACAAGAAAAAATAAAAAAGACATAAAAGGGCTTGGTGCTATCTGTGCTTGTTTAACCTGAGTAACTTAAACTATGAACAATTTTTTTTTTGCAAGAATGGATGAGATAGGGGCTGGTGGAAGTCTCCTTATAGTATTATTCGGAAATGCGGATTTAGAATGTCAAAAGAAAATTATTAGCTTAACTCAATAGATTAATATACTTATGCCATGATTTTTCAAACAAGGCAAGTTTAAAAAATTGTTTCGAAAAATATTTCTCAGTTTTATAACTGGCACATATTTGATTTTTGAAGTTTCCTAAAATATGCCTTGTTTGTTTATTCTGCTATAATATATATGGGATTTGGCATTTATAATTATTTGGTTTGTAACACTATTCAGATATATATTACCAAATAAAATATCTGAAAGGCTCCAACTATTGAAATTTACATTACATTTGTCCTTTAAATATAATAGCTGTAGCTGTGTCCAGAACTGTTTTATAATATCACAATCAAAGAATAAATGCACCAACGTTTCTTTTTCATTTTGACAAAAAAGAACAAATACATGTATCTTCATTTATAATATTCATTTTCTTAAGTAAATAATAGGTCGCAAGAATTCTATGATAAATTCTTAATTGAAACCTTATCAATTTTGGATCTTTCGTAAATTTATATATCTTATATTTTAGTTGTTTTGAAAAAAAAAATAGGATCAATTTTATCTGATATTTCAATCATCCATTTTTGTAAAGCATTTGGATATTGTTCTGATAAGTTTGGTTTATACAAATTTATTTTAGTTCGATTGTGTCGGGGCCACGCCGCCACGCTCTGATAAGTGCATGACCTTATAGATAGAACGACATCCTTTTATATCTTTGATAATTGTCAGTACAGTTTGTCGGATAGGTAGATTATATTTTTGTTCTTTTGCTAAATCTTGTACATTAAATTCAATAAATATAATTTTACTGCTGTTATGATACTCCTTTATTCTAGAAAATTACTTCTAAATTTAAATATTGCACAAAATTCATCATAATTAAGTATAATAATCTCCCTCTTGATTGACAAGATCTCCTAAAAACAGAATTCCACCAGCAATCAATCTATTCAGATGAATGCTTGAATTTCCAACCTTAAATTCAGAGTTATCCCACAAATGAATGGAATAATAATGATTAACATGTTTTGGCTGTAAGTTCAATGATAGGGAATAATAGCTCTGTAAAACATCTTTCCAAAATTGATTGATGTGTTACTGCAATTTTCTTTTCACAAAATTTATTTCATACCAATTTCATATAATTATTGTTTGAATGTATAAGTCTCCTAATCCAGATAACCTTTAGACTATCCATAAAACATCTCAGGTCAATCATGTTCAAACCTCCAAACTTATATTCTTGAGTGATTATATTCCTCTTGACTTTATCCATAACTTCACTCCAGAGAAATTTGAAGAAAAGATTTTGAACTTAATTATTTTTATCTAAAGGTGGATAAGGTATATTCATAATTAAATGATTTAGTTTGGCAAGTGCCAAAGATTTTATAACTACAATTTTACCAATAGGCGAGATAATTCTTTTGGACCAATTTGCGAAAAGTTTCTTTTATTCTTGAATTTTTGCATCATAATTAAGACTTATAATTTGGCTTTAACCTGTGGAAAACTTAATACCTAACAAAGTAAATGTTTCATTGTTCCAATCCAGATTGTACTCTGGGCAGATCACAGAATTGTTATTTTTAAGAGAACCAAACCAAACCACTTTAGTTTTTTTCTGTATTAATAACAAGGCCAGACATATTAGCATAGAATTTTAAAATTTTCATTGTGTTTTTTAAAGATTTCTCTGTGCCATCTTGAAACAAGCTAGTATCATCTGCATATTGGGACACTTTATATTCTTTGCCATGAATTTTGATACCCTTTATATCATGATTACTTCTGGTCAAAATGGAAAGAATCTCAGCACATATAATGAACAGGTACGGTGACAGGGCATCCCCTTGACGACAGCCTCTCTGAAGAGAGAACCAGTTTGACATATTTCCATTTACTATAACACAAGACTCCACATTTGTATAGAACAGCTTAAAACATGTTCTAATTGAAGAACCAAAATTAAAAAAACTCTAAAACTTTAAACATAAAATCCCATGACACTGAATCGAAAGCAGCCGCAAAATCAATGAGAAGTAACAATCCTGGAATATTATTTCTCAGTATAAAATAAACAAATCATACAGCATCCTTGTATTAATAATAATAATAAGTGTTCTTTGTATATTTAACCGACTAGGAAATAATATAATGTTTTACAAACGCGTCAAAAATATATGAAACTGAACACTAGTAATCTGCTGTAATTCATTACCGTGTTAAGATTATATTATTATAATAATGAATTACTACGCTCGTTTTTATGACAAATTCCTGGATTTAGACATTTTATAGTTTTTCCATTCCATTTGCATCCATTTATTACATTACTTTTTCATTTTATATTAAAAAGTTTATAATTTCATTTTGATGCTTTAATTCAATAATGTTACATATCCATGCGTTAAGACTTTTTACTGCAAATCAATGCGTTTATAAATGCCTTACTTATGATATGTTCTTTTATTTTACTTTTTATCGACGCGCTCTCACACTTAATCATTATACATTTCCATGCTGTCAGACCTAATTATTGATTAGGAACGCATTCGGAATTCTAATTGTAAATGCATGCATTCATTATATGAGCCGCATCACGACAAAACCAACATAATGGGTTTGCGACCAGCATGGATCCAGACCAGCCTGCGCATCCGCACAGTCTGGTCAGGTTCCATGATGTTCGCTTACAAACCCTATAGCAAGTAGAGAAACTGATAGCGCACAGCATGGATACTGATCAGACTGCGCGGATGCGCAGGCTGGTCTGGATCCATGCTGGTCGCAAACCCATTATGTTGGTTTTGTTCTGACGCCGCTCATATAATATTATTTATCCATGAGTTAAGACTTTACTATAATCATATTGAAATTAATCCGTTAACAATATAATAATAATAATAATAATAATAATAATAATAATAATAATAATAATAATAATAATGATTATGATAATGATACGATACGATACGATACGATACGATAAATATAATAACAATTATATTCTGTCCCAGGTTCATACTACATTGCATTTAACATTTATAATTAAGCCTACTTATCCATGCGTACAGACTATTTCACAATTAAGACTATTTCACAATTAAGTTTATCCATGCATTCATATCATTTTACACTTACCCATGCATTTAGTCAATTTCACAATGAAGCTTATTCATCCATGCATTCAGACTATTTCACAATTTAGACTATTTATCCATGCATTCGGACTATTTCACAATTAAAGGGGTCTTCACCTTTTATTTTTGTCCGGAAAAACAATTCTGTGGGTTTTTTTTAAACTTAATATTTCAGTACTTTTATCCCGGAAAGATGCCTCACATCACGTACTGTTAGGCCTCCTTCAAAACAGCGTCCCAAGAGCTATTTATAGGGCGCCAGTGACGTTCGTTTCTAAAAAAAAAGACCGGGAAAGGATTAGAGGGATTTGTATTTTGTCGACGGCAAATTTTAATTTCCACTTTATTTTTTATTTTTTTTATTTGACAATTATATGAAACGATTAATCTAAAAATAACATTTTTAACATTTAGATCGAAAAGTTGAAAACCGCTTTAAGCATATTTATCCATAAATTCATGCTATTTCTCAATTAATCCTACCTATCCCTGATTTGAGACTTTTCCACAATAAATACAAATTTCTTCATTTATAATCTACTTAGTATTGATAGTTAAAATTATCGCCAAACAAGTTAGTCACTTACTCCTGTACTTGTAAACTACGTTCACCTTTCTTGTAATAGCACA